TGATAGGAAGAGGCTTGGGTACTACCAAACATCCTACAATGTGTAGGACAATCTATCACGATGCATTGTAGGCTCAAAGTGTCTGCCATGCATGGATTAAGAATCATCCCCTTAAAGCAATAGGTTGGAGTCACTTGTTGAAAATGATTAGGTTCTTAAATTCTCCAGTCTGCTTTTGCTAATTCTTGCTATGCCAAGGATCCTTAGTTATAATCATTGGATGGAAAACGATGGCCATCTTTTATTGTTATCTAGAATTTGAAACCAAATTATAGCAGAATTTCATACTATGTTAACCTATGTGTGAACTACAGGATTCTTGTCTTGTTCTGTAGGACTAAGAGTGGGCCTTTGCATCTTTCTCATGACTGCTCTTGTTCCAAAGGCCCTTTATGTTCTCCTTTGTCCCATATCTTACTGCATACCATAGGAGATGGAGTGATCCAAGAAGACAAGGACTCAGTTTCAGGCTCCTGGGGGTTCATCCCCAGAGTCCTGTCCTCTTCATTCCACCCTTTTTCCTCAGCAGTGTTCCTTTATCCTGCAGGTTAGAGAGAACACAGGAAGTCTCCACAGTGAAAGCACATGCATTTAATACCTGACTACATTTTATCAGTCAATACATGGTACAGGAACTGTTACCCAACAAGGATATTGCTGCTTTCTTCTCAGAGGAAGGAGATCAACATAGTATTCCAAGACCCAGTGAGATTCATGAGCAGCTTTTGCTTTCATTCCTAATTATATATGTGTGTGTGTGTGTGTGTGTGTGTGTGTGAACCTTTATTCTTGATTTCTACAAATGATTGCTTCTAAGACACTCTACAGATACCAAATTCACAGTTGCTCAGTCCCTTATATATAATGGTGTATATTATAACCTATGCACATCCTCCTTTGGATTACTTATAATAACAAATAAAATGTAAATGCTATGAAAATCCTTGTACTATATTGTCTAGAGAATAATTATAAGATAGAGGTCTGCACATGTTCCGTGCAGACACAGTTTTTTTTTTGACTACTTTGGATCTGAAGTCAGCTGAATCCATGGATGCAGAACCAAAGACATGGAACTATGGGCACAGAGGACTGAAAATACACACACACACACACATGTATTTTCCCACCTCTGTGTTTATGCCTTCCAATTATACACATGATTCAGCTTCTTAAGGCCTTGTTTAAAAAGCAGCTAGCTTTGATTCCTGCCCTGGAAGATAATTAAAGCTATACTATATATACTGAGGTCAAGCCACTCTTTATTGCATTTAACATCCAGATCTACATGCAGATAAATTTTCTAACTAAACTTACAGGGAAACATATTTCATAACAAATGGTCAGCATGTAACAATGCAATATAAAGATACCCTCCATTTGATCCATCCTATAAAATTTAAAAACCTCTCCAACTCTGTCTTAAAAGCTCAATTCCCCAACAATGGATAATGCATTCTTTGGTCTTTTCTTTTTTAAAAAAAATATTTATTTTTTAGTTTTTTAGATGGACACAATATCTTTCATTTTTATGTAGTGCTGAGAATCGAACCCAGGGCCTCACGCATGCTAGGCAAGCACACTACCACTTGAGCCACATCCCCAGCCCTGGTCTTTTCTTTTTTAAATGCTCTGCTTAGTTTCATTCAGAGGAATCAAAAATAGGTAATTTATACATATATAACACACATACGTACATATATGCATAAAACTTTAAGTTTCACAACAATCTCATGGGGATAGTTTGCTTTACTCATGCTATAAATAAGGAAACTAAAACTTTGAAAGACTGAATAACTTTTTGATGTTAGACATGGAATAAATAGAAGAACTGCTACTGGAGTGGAGCTGTGTCTTGTCAATTTTGCAGCACTCAGGTGTCTTATGTTTTGATGGCTCCCAACACTATCATTGCACATAAGAATATCCAAGTGTAGCTCTATACTCCTACTATTTAGAAAACAACAGAATCTCCAAGGGAGTTTTCATCACAGTCACTGCATAACCCATAAATACCACACCTTGAAGTAGCATTTCACAGCAAAAAAAGACATCTCTAGACCCTGATATGTGGAGACTATAGCAGGTGCCAGGCAGGGTACCAGACCTCATAGATAGTCATGGAGACAATATGATGAATTGTGTACAGGCATCACTTTTTCTTCAACATTTGGGGGAAATTGGATAAATAATTTTATACTAAATTAATGGGCAGTAGACTAATGCAATATATTTTTTCTCATATGCACCAATGTCATTTCACAAAAATTTTACCTTGTAAAGACTTATTCAGGATCTCTGTTGTCTCCTTGCATTTTCCACCCTATTCTCTCCTTTTTCACTAGTGTCTGCAGTGGAAATTAGAGAGGTCAATACTGCATGCTGGGGTCACCAGCCAAGGGCAGTTTCAGACACACGGTACCATCTTGGAGAGGGACATAGAGGAACTACTAATGTCAGTTTTATTCCTGCATCAGCCAAGCCAGGCCAGCGTGCAGCCATCTATCTCTCCAGAACAGATGAATGGGAACACTGAACTTTCCATCTTGGGTGAGGTGGGTGTGGGGTGGGTAGAAGCCTGAAAATCCACCTGCCACCCAGAACATTGCTTAAATCATGCCATGTTACCTGAGCCAATATCCGAGACTTAGAGCAAGTTAAAGGCAGTGTGTTTTTTTCCTGTGCCTCTATTATAAATCAATTTTATATATTAATAACTCTGATATTGTGGAATTTTGGTTGCATGCTCACTCTGTACCAGACACAGTGAGGATAAGATGTGTTACTTGCTTTATTTAATTTTACCTTAAGATGATAATTACAGGGTAGATTATGATCATTCCCATTTCATAAACAGGATGAGGATTAAACATCCATAGCTGCCCACTGGGGAGTGGTGAGGAAGTACTCAACTCTATTTGACACTTAGACTAGAAGACCCAGACAGCAAAGGACCTGTTTCCATATCCAGGCCCAGGGAGCTCCATAACTAGAAACTGTTGAAACCAGCACCCTGTGCCTTTCTGTCCAGTGAGGAGGGTCTGGTACCAGGCAGGGAAGGGTGTATGGAGGCCAGAATAGACCATAGCCATCCTTTTTAGCATTCCAGGTCAATGCCAAGGCCATGCCATTAACTCTGAGGCTCAGAACCTCTCTGAGGGCTCCCAAGATGTTCTGTGGTAGGCTCCCTCCCATTCTCCAAAGTAGAAAATACCTTCCTAGTTGTGGGGGCTTCAGGACACAGAGAGGTGGAGGACCCCTGACTTGGGATCCCTCTAGTTCCTCTCTGGTTGCATCATCCAAACAGGCAAATATTCTTTCTAGCCCTAAACCATAAAAATTGTTGACTGTGAAACTGTTGAGAAATGAAAACTGCCAGTCAATTACATGTCTCCATGTTTGATGCTGCTGGACTGTAGCCTGAGCTACTTTTCTCTTATGGGAACAAGTTGTAACCTCGCTTTTTATAGTGCTTTTGGAGAGGCTGTTCCAGAAGCTGATGTCCACCAACTGCTTGAGACTAGAATATGCAGGTCCCCATAGCCAATGCAGTGGTCATGGGCAACTAATAGCTATTCCACACAGTGATTTTATTCATGTAGTTTTATGATTGGCTGTGTCTTTTTTGGCATATTTTCATGTATGTTCAGTTCTTTCCAATTCTCTTCTTTATAAAATCCTGAGTGGGGAAAGAGACTCTCTCTGGATGTCATGAGGGAGAGGGTGGGTGGAGCCCCTTCTGCCGTGAACATCACACCAACCAGGTGAGCATTTTTCCAGAACAATGGGGAGAAGGCGGCTTTCTCTCAGACATGCTTTAAGAGTGGGAGGCACATATGCCCTCTGTATAGTGGCCTATGACTTGGGGCTATGATGCATCATCTGCTAGCAGGGCCTCAGACACAGCAAACTGAGAAGCTCTGTTCCTACCCAACCACTCATGTGTTCTATGATCTCTCAGGATGCCTTCCCTCCCCAGGTGTGTTCTGTGTATTCATTCTATACTCTTTTTTGGGGGATGGGGTGTACTGGGCATTGAACTCAAGACACTAGACCATAGAACCACATCCCCAGCCCTATTTTGTATTTTATTTAGAGACAGGGTATCACTGAGTTGCTTAGTGGCTTGCTTTTCAGAGGCTGGCTTTGAACTCATAATCCTCCTACCTCAGACTCCCCAGCTGCTGGGGTTACAGGTGTGCACCACTGCACCTGTCTCTTTCTATACTGTTTCTATTCTATATTCTGTCTCTAGGTTCCTTTTTTTCCAAGTACTTTCTGAAACAGAGTGAAAACACACACACACAAAAGCAAAAACCCATCCTTCACCCCAAAAAACAAAACAAAACAAAAAACAAGACACCTCAGCATTTTTCCCTGAAAATGTTTAATGTTCAGCTTCTAGAGCCAAGATGTTGCTAATGCAAATCTCTTGGTGTATTTCATTTCCAATGTACAACTAAGACATAGGGTGCAGGAGGACTGTGTTTCCTCAGTGCCAATACTCATTGATAATTTTTTTCTGTAAAATTAATACCATAAAGTGACTTTCACAAAATACCTGCTGCTTCAGAGGAGTCATACTTCTTAGAGTTACTTGATCCAAGTTGGAACATCAACTTTTTTTTTTTTTCCTGAGTTCTCTGAAAGATTTTCACCCTACTCTTCATAGACCTTTCCGTCTTTGTTTATTTTGTCTGGTTCTCACTATCACAAATTTCCTTGGGATTTAATCTTACCCTTTTGTTCATCAACTTTTTTTTTTTTACTTTCTATTTAGATGCATTGGCATTATAGATAACTTATATAAAAAGTAGAATTTACAGTTGGCAAATAAGTAGCAAATTTTGCATATGAACAAAATTTCACTCTTTTGAAAAATTTTGAATGAAGGAATTCATATTCATTTTCAACTTTGTTTTTGCAATCCCCTATATGTGAACAATAAGGACTGAGGTGAAACAGAAGTTGATGTGTTGTAATCTGTTTACTTTCCTCAGGAGGGATGCTAGACAAGATGTTTAACCATGTAGGAGCTGGACGCTTCCGTTTCTTGGGCCAAATCTTGGTGAATCTCTCTTCTTGCGTGGTATTGGATCGCTTCCAGGCTGTGGAGTCAGCTGACATCCTGGAAACTAAAGCCCATGAACTCATGAATAAAAACAACTTCTTGGCCAGTAAGTAAGGAGCAAATATGTTCACAAGGGCACTGCCTCTCCAAGATGGTCATTTTGCATATTTTTCCTTAATGTTACCTTACGTTGGCTCTAAAAGAAAAGGGGTCTTTTCCAGATAAAACATAAATAAGCAGAAACATACATCGAGTTAATGGAAAGCTGGGCTTCATGCCATAATAACCAATGACATTTTCAGCATCCTGAAGAGAATGCAACTTGATGTATCTGTTTTACTATTTTTTTTTTGGACATTATTTTGTGGTCACATTTTTCCTGACTGAAGTTATGCTTTAATTTCCTCTATAGTCTTTATTTTTAACATAGTATCTTGATATCCTGGCTGGGGGAAAAAGACAGTTGTCAATTAGATTCCATTATTATATGTGTACCTATTCAAGTTAAGTATAATATATCCTTTTCTATTCTTTTTGAACAAAAAATTATTATTATTTTTATTAATTTTGGTGCCAGGGGTTGATCCCAGGGCTTTGTACAAGCTAAGTTCACGCTGAACCACTGAGCTACATCTCCAGCCTCCAATTATGTATTTATTTTCGTGAGGTTTTATATTTTTTGCTGGGACCACCATGGTAAAGTATTATAGCTTGGGTGACATAAGCAATACAAATTTGTTCTGGAAGCTGGAAATCTAAGATCAAGACAACCAGAGAATGGAAATGTTGCACTCCATTTGTGTACGATGAATTGAAATGCATTCTGGTGTCTTGAACAACTAAGTAGAATAAATAAAAAATAATAAATTAAAAAAATTTTAAAAAGACATTCATTAGTTCGTTTTGAAGATAGTGAGGGACAGATATTCTGTAAATGTCTTTCATTGGCTTGTAGATGGCTATCTTCCTCTATAGCTTTATATAATCTTCCCTCTATGTTGTCTCAGTGTCCAGGTTTCCCCTTTTCATAAAGACAATGTTATATTGAACTTGGGCCCACCCTATAGGCCTCATTTTATCTTGATAATTCCTCTCAAGATGCTGTCTCCAAATGTGGTCACATTCTGAAGTCCTAGCGGTTAGGACTTCAACATAAATTTTGGGAGAACACAATTTATCTCGTAATAGGGTTTTGCATAAAATGTAAAGGACCCATGTAACATAAGACAGAATCCATATACTTGAGTTATGAGTGCTACGTAACCTCAGAGGTGGATTCTGTGCCTCCAGATGCATCTGCCACTTGAAGAAAGGAAGGACTGATTACTTGAGAAGGCTCACACAATTTTTCAAATCCTCCCTCAAATAAAATACTATCATATGTCACCATAGCATGGTTTTATTAATAAAGATAAAAAGGTATGTTGGACTGGGAATCAGGTCTTGGATCAAGTTTACCACACATTGCTTGTGGAACTGAGCCTTGATTTTGCCTTCCTGGGGTTAGAGTCTCTTCCTGTAGGTGCAGGAGGCTGTGCTGAAGCCCACAATCCACCAGTCTTCCAGTCTGAGCAGTGTGACACGTGTATGCCCCTACCTAAGTTGTGATGATGATTTATTTTTCCTTTTCTGCCACTAGGTGTCATATTCAACAGTTCCTTAGTCCGCAGGAGAATCAGATCGACATCTCTCAAATTGCCACCCCATGTCACATATACAATTCGGACCAGCGTCTTACACAGCATGAGAACAGATATGATAAAAAACCCTTCTTGGAAGTTCCATCCTCAGAGTCTACCAGCTGATGGGTTAAAATATAACTACATCTTTGTCCCACTGCAAGACATGATTGAAAGAGCCATCATTGAAGTACAGACTGGCCAGGAAGCCCTGGAGCCGACCACTCAGACGCAGGCAGCCCCCTACCCATGCCACACCAGTGACCTGTAAGTAGCTATAGTCAAGCCAAGCTTTCCTCCAGTGTCTACCTGCAGGGAGAGGAATTCTGCATTTGGAAAACAGAATAGAGAAAAAGATCCTTAAGCTTTTCTATAGTCATCTCAAAGAGTTTTCTTTTTAAAACCTACTTTTCCTATTACTTTCTTAAGGCTGTTTTTTTTAAATATACTTGAGCTATTTATGTAGAAATATGATGGGTAAGATACAGTTAGCCCTTTGCAGCCACAGATTCAACGAACTGCAGACTGAAACAATCTTTGAACAGAAAATTCCAGAAAGTTCCAAAAAGCAAAATTTTAATTAGGCATGCACTGTACTATATGCTGAATTCTTGTGAATGAAGTGACATATAGTCATCATATTTGGTAAGACAAGTAGAAATGATTTAAAGTACATGGGAGATTGTGTAAGTTTTATGCAATACTGCACTATTTTATAGTACAGACCTGAGCATCTGTGGATTCTGGAATTATCTTTAACTTTGGAAGCAAACAACTGTGGGTAGAGAAGGCTTGGAGGAAAAGAATACAAGCTCAGTTTTACACACTTAATTGCTTTTAGAAACATAAAGAAATGTTAAAAAGAGATTTCTTTTAAAAAATATTTACTTTGTAGTTGTAGTTGGACACTATATCTTTATTTTATTTATTTACTTTTATGTGGTGCTGAGGATTGAACCCAGGGCCATACACATAGCACTGAGTCACAACCCCAGCCCTAAAAATGAGATTTCTTTAGGAGGCTGGGTAGATCCAGTTGGAGGTATTGGTTTAGAGTCTTTACCATTTCAAAGGTATTTAAAATTCAGATTAGATAGCCTTACCATCAGAGGGAAGCATAGCCAGAGAAACAAAGAGGGCCAAGACCAATGGCGTCCCCCACCACCACCACAAAAAAGGTCAGGGAGGAAAGGAGACTGAGGTAGGAGGAAAGCTTACGGAGTCCTGGAGGCCAACCAGAGGAGTGACTCCAGCAAGGGGGAGTGTTCAAGAATGTGACTCCTGGGTAAATAAGATGAAGGGGGGCAATTGACAGGTAGCTTCAGAGGTAGGTATGTGCACCACGGAGTACTTCACAGAGAGCAACTTCACAGATGTAGTGAGAATGACAACCAGACTGAAGTCCACATAAGAGATTTGTAGAAGTAGAATGGGAGCCTGCATCCAGATAGCTCTCAGGAGTTTTTCTATAATAGGCATAGAATGGAGGGCAATTTGAACAGAAGATGTGCTCTTTAGAGAAATATGTAGGATGCTAATGGTTTAGAGTCTTTACCATTTCAAAGGTATTTAAAATGCAGATAGTCCATTACTAGGGAAAACAGAAAGTAATAAAAGAGGTGGGGAAATTGTGTTCTTGAATAGTTGAGAGGAGACCTCAACAAGTGCAGGAACTGGCTCATAGGCAGAAACCTAGCAATTCATCCATGATTACAAAGTCCATCTATTTAAAAATTCCCCAGCTTCCTTGAACCCAGAGCTTACAGAGCTTTCTCTCTCTTCATGTAATATCTATCATTAACCCAAAGACCCACAGTTTTGAGAGGCCAGCGTTGATAATTATTAGGTTGATACTGTAGAGTTGAATAGGGAACAGAACTTTGTGAAATTTAATGTTTTCATCAGTCCCATGATTCATGGGTGATTATCATAAGGACAGTTTTTTTTTAATTGACACACAATAATTGATAAGGACAATTTCTGATTGGAGCTATATCATACTTCATGAATATAAAGGATTTCAAATGTTAATCTATTGCCTCAAAGAGCAAGTCCACTAAGAAGGTTTTCAGAAAACAAAATCCACAGCAATACTCTAGAATTCTTTTCTATGAAAAAAGAATATTTATTTCAAAATGTACCTATTATTTCTACCACAGCTTTTTTATTCCTTCAACTTACAGCATTCTGGATTTGGGTCTAAGAGAAGAAGAAATTGAACTTTTGGGTTCTGAGTGAACAATAGCTCCCAGAGTCCCAGCATCCCAACATCTGGACTTGGAAATGTCTTGGCGGGGGGAGTGGAGAATAAAGGGTTTACCAAGAGTCATGCTCACAATGTTGGATTCCTGCTTTAAAAAAATATAAGCTTGGTCCACAGCAGACACATGAGAGGACCCTTTGTTATATCCATTTTATTTCTTAACCTTGCGCTTTACTTCCAGAAACCTTAGTAAGCACCTCTTTCCTATTTGTCCATATCCATTGTTCCTAGAAGTTCACATTCCTGGTACTCCCAAGAGATATTAGAAGCCCCCCTTCCCTACCCAGACTCTGTTCTGTTCCACTGAGTGGGACCTAAACACCAGATAATTGATGGGAAGTAGAAGAAATATGCTCTTTAACTTTGTAGCCCTTCACTCCCTCAAGCCCACCCTCCTCATGAACTTGTCTTTCTACTACAGAGGGAGGAAGTGGAGGAGGACATGTCTTGTTAAAGACTCAGGGAATCCTTTATTCAGTTTCTCTGTGCCCCATAGCAGCAACAGTAACCCCTCCCTTAAAATAGTGTCACATTTCCAAACAGTGGCATCACATTTTTCCTGTTAGAAATTTATAAGCACAGCGGAAACAATTGAGACTCATGTAGGTTATCTGTCCCCAGGTCTCATGGCATCTTCATGGCTTTCATTCCAATTTTCTGATGCTCTATTAAGGTCCTTTCATTTTAAGCACTTTGTGAAGGACTCTGGACCAACAGGCAAGAGCGGCTGCCATTTCACTCCACTCTTTTGGAAAGTCTGGCACATTTTCTTGTATCCCTATCAGAGCTCATATTCAGCTGCACTTCTTAACCTGAGGTGTGGACATTTGTGACAGTATCTGTGGTCACAACAGAGCAATGTATATTTAGTGCCTGAGGACCAGAGATGCTAATCTGCTAATTGTACAGTTCTCTATGGGATGAAGAATAATTCCTCACCAAATCCCTAAACACCCTTATTTAGAATCACCACATGCTCTGCCTCCGATATATTATTTCAATGCCTTCATTCACTTGTATACTTATTCCTCCATTCATTTGTTCAAAAGACATTTTTTTCTCCCTCATATTCACTGTAGACATGCATTTTTCTAGGTGCTGAGGGAATGCAGAGATGAGAAATACACAATTCTTGAGCTTAGGAAACTCATTGCTTAACACAGTAGGTAACGTGGGTTCATAACTCTAAAAGAGACAAGAAAGGGAGAAAAACTGTTTGCTTAGGTCCTGGGAATGGCAAGAGTGAGTTAATCCTGACTGGTTCAGGCCTTCACCCAACAAACAAAATATAGGAGAATTCCTTGACAAGGAGTCTGAATTACAGTTCTTAAATCTGCCTCTTTGCAAATGTTGGACCCTGGGAGTGAGTGTTGCTTTTTAAGGTTGTATGATCTTTTTTGAGCTTCTGGAGTCCCTTTAGAGTGTCAGACTTGGAATGATGAGAGAACCAGGGCTCCCCCACCCAACAAAAAACCTTTGGTTTCGAGCTTTGTACTTGCTGGTTGCAGGATCTTGGGCCAGTGATTTGACAGTTGTGAATTTCCATCTCCTCCCCTTGAATGGGATGTTGATTGATGATTTGCAACCTGATTAGCTTGTAGTACACAGCAAATCATCTTTCTTGAGAGAAGCCCAGACTTATGAAAGGACCATGGGAGGTGCTTTGAGCAGACTGGATGCTCCCAGAGGCAGCCTGTTCTGTTTTGGGCAGCCCTGACAGAAAGTTCTTCCAACTTCTGATGCTGAAAGTCAGGATTGATTTGATGGCTTTGGATGGTTTTATATTTAGAGGTCTGGATGCATGTGGGCATCCTTCCTTCTCCCTGACTGTCCTGAGTGCATTACAAAAAGTAGGAACATTAGAGAAAGAGCATCCAGGTTCCCCTTTGCTTATTGCTGGAGGAGTGCACATATTTCCATACATAGCTGCATGCTGCCTAAAATAAGTGCCAATGCTCCTTGCTCTCATTTCTCCCAACCTCCCCTCCCCATCCAAGTCACAAATCATAACAAACAGCGGCTGTATCGAGGAAGGCTGTGGAGGACGGAACTGACAAGCAGTGGGAAAAGTAGAAATCTGCTCTCTCATTTTTCTGAAGGAGATGAGAAGGGTAAAGGTAGCACTTAAGGAAGCAAGAGGCCAGGCACAGAAGTCTGATCTGTCTATAGCCATCCTCCAGCCCCGTTCTGGGCTCCCCCAGGATTGATGGTGATGGGGTGAAGGGAGAGAGGCAGGAGAAGAGGAATTAGCGGAGGTGAGGTGGGAAGTGGGGAATGAAATTTGTCACCACCTCACATTTAAACCAAAGTCTGGCATCCTGACTGACAAGAACAAGAGCCAGTGTCTCTATGTGGTTCTTCCTGTTGTACAGTTTTGATTCAACATGCTCATCACTTTTGTGTCTTTGAACTTGCTGGATGGTGCTAATAGAAGCAAGCAACAGATGAAACACGAGTAGCAAGGGTTATTTAAGTGTAAATCAAGGAGGTGCCAGCTGCACAAAAAGAAGTGGTGACAATTAAATGATTATGAAGATCAGAGTATCCTTTTAAAAAGCTTAAATACATAAGAGAGTTTAATTTTTCTAATCAGTGGAGTAGTGCTGTTATCTAAGTTTCAGAATAGAGATAAATACAAAGAAAATTCTAGAACATATTGAAAGAATTCCCCACGCAAAGACACTTCGCCGGGAGAATTCCAATTTTATTGCAAAAAGCTGTGTGCTTATATAGAACTAAGGGGGAGATGGTAGGGCTTAGATAAATGGCAGGCAACCCATTTATTGGCAAGTTCTTTCAGATATCAGCTCCGGAGCCCAGGAATTAGTTCTCATTGGGGCTAAGGTTCCCCGCCAGCGAGATTTGAAATTGGCACCGGCGGGAGAGTTCACACGGGCGGGAACTTTTCACGCCACTGCAGAAAAGAAGAAGGTAGGAAGAAGAGGTGCTTAGGCGCCATGTTGGTTTTTTTTTTCTCTAGGGTATGGCTGCCGTTTATACTTTT